CCCACCCCCCTCGACCCAATGAATCTAATTTGTTATACTGGGCTGTAAAAAAGCTTGAGCTGATGGTGGTTCAGTACAGATAATAGAAAGTCTTTGACTTGATTTTTCTCGGTTTCATACGACTGGTCAGCCCGTCTGTTGTATGTTTTTTTTTAATAGTTACTGGGTATTTTTTGTTGACTCTGTTCCATAATATTACCTCAGGTTATGATTTCGTCTACCAACATTCACTGAGAGTTCCTTGAATTCCTAGAAATCTCCATGCTCCAATCGGGGTCACGTGAAATTGTTGTTTTGCTGTTGCAAGTTTTCTGTGTGTCCTCAGCTCGGTCGGGACAAAACTGTCCCTGCCCTCGACACCGCGGTATTTATTGTACATGTACTGTGCACTGCATCGCTTTTGTTTCGTCCATGAGCTATTTCCAAGAATTCGAGTAAAATCTATTTCATGCTGTTTAATGTTCTGACAGAATACCCCAGCATCGCTGGCATGATTGGATTATTATTTCGGCAAGGACAGCCGTCAGCAAAGAAATTCACTTTCTGTATCTTCTTAGTGCAGTTACAGTACTTCAGGTTGTGAAAGAGCTCCCATGCTTACTTGTCCCTCGTGCCGATTCTTTGCCATATCGACAGACTGAAGGGCTAGAACCCAAATGGCCGCTGGATCGGAAAAGTAAAGAAAAGTAAAGTAAGTCCCTCGTGCCAAGTGAAGCAGTGGAAGCTTTTGTTTGTTAGTTTGTAAAAGGTCAGATTCTTCTTCAAATAAAACTGGGTGCTCTCTGTTGATATCAGAAGGTAAATGACCTGTTGAAGATCAAGCATTGAAGCTTAAAAGCCCATCACCACGCTTTCCTTTTTCTTTGCTTTCTTCTTTAACTTTCAGTTTCTGACTGACTTGTCAGAGAATGCGAATGTTCAGCCTTCGATTTGTTGCCTCAACCCTTTACTGCCAGTAAAGCTCACAAAGAACGTCGGTCCTTTTTTTTTTTCTTTTTTTTTTTTTATTTGATGGTGGAAGGCAGGTTCTTCTTCTTGAAAATTCTGGAATATATCCTGAAATGTGGCACAGTGTCGTCTACTATATATTGCTCCACGAACATTCTCTAACTTTGTTGTGAGTTCAGGCTTGCGTGCTGGTACTTCTTACTCAAAGATGACCTACAGTTATGTGACTCAACTCTTGGGAACCTCTCTATATGGACTTTAATAAGGGTAGAAAGTGTTGCTTACCTCTATCCTTGACAGTTGCTGGGCGTCTTCCTAATCTTTGTTTCTGCTTCAATAGCTCCAGTTGATGTTGTCTTACAGATGCGGTTCTTGCAGTCTTCTCAGCAATTACTTGTGTCTTCTAGAACATCTTCTGACATACCTTGAAGCATAATAATATTTCATCGACAGTCAAGTAGTATGTACATGTATTGGTTTTCTGTAATTGCAGAGAAAAAAAAAAACCTGAGCGAAGCTCAATTCGGATTCCGAAAGAAAAGAAGATGCACGATGCACGAAGCCTGTATTCATATTACACAGCTATGCAAGAAAACCATCGAGCACAACAAGGAATCCAACATCATCAGGAAAAGGCTTTCGGCAGCTTAAACCGTATCAAACTGTGGAAGACACTTGAAATGTATGACGTCAAAAGACAACTTGTAAGAAAATATTAGAGTTCTACCAACAGTAGAAGCTCAGGAAGAACAAAGGGAGGCAACATAAACTATTTCAAAGTAAGATCTGGAGTACGTCAGGGATGCATTTTATCTTCTGCCCTTTTTATAATATGCATGAGAACAATAATGCAATTGACACAAAACCCGAAAGTGTAAATGAACTTAAATTCTGCTTGCCGGCGACCAATTTCTTATTCATCCTAACCAACAAAGCCCCCAAAATAACACTACCGAATACCGAACTGAACAACAGCTGTGAGAAATTTGACATAAGAATAGGCACATCAAAAACAAAAGTTATGAAATTTAACCGAAATCATAGTCCCCTGAACATCCATGTTCATTATAAACAATTTAAACAGGCCAGGGACTTTAAATAGCTTGCCTAACTTTTTTTCTTCTGAAAACGGGTCCATAATGTATGGATAGAGAAATAGAAATGCGAACTAAAAAAGCTAACACCGTCACCTACCAGCTATTGCACCCCTTCTATCTAATCCAAACATCTCCATGGACACAAAGAGACAGTTTGTCACTTCAATGTTTATACCAATATTATGCTACCAGTGCCAAACCTGAACAAGTTAGTAAAACCCTTGAAAGCAAAATCAGCGTGTGGGAGATGATATATTATTATGTCTCCGTAAAACCCTTAACATCACAATAAGTTCAAACAGAGACGGGCAGAGAAATGAAAAAGAAGAGCAACAATAATTGGCACAGAGTCCTGCCTGCTTTTCATAGAAAAACAGAAAATAAAATGGTTTGGCCACCTGTTACGAATGTCACCAAACCAGCCAGCCTCGAGATCGAGCCTTTAAAATTAAATGCCCAGGCCATAAAAGTATGGGTGGACCACGCAAAAGAAGGACTGAGAGAGTCAAGGCTGGAGAATTAGGCTATAACATCTCAATTGAAAGAACTGCAGAGTTGGCCGGCAATAGAAAACAGCATCTCCCCTCGACGCTTTTAACAAACGGCAACAGAGGTTGAAAAGTAAAAGACAAAAGTGAACAATAGAGGCGAAATTCCAATGTCCTCCCAGGGAAAGCAGGGACCAATGATTCGCCGGGGGCTCTCGTGGCCTAGAGGTTAAGGTGTTCGCCTCTCATTCAAAGGTCCCGGGTTCGAATCCGGGTATCGATCAAAAAATTTTCTTCTCTAAATTTGTCTCCTTTCACCTCCTTTCCTACTCTCCAGCAATGTTCTG